AACCAGTGTTACTTAGAATTTTTCGAAACTTGAAAGGGTGTTTTATATATACAATTCCATGTTTCATCATCTAGATTAAATAGTTCATTCCACTTTATTTTACCTGTTGCTGTGATATTATTTTTGCAGAGCATTTTGTAGAAGTCCTTTGACCCTTTAATATTTTTAAAGAAAATCTCAAGATTAAGTGGAATAAAAGGATAACTAACAACATCATTACCTATTTCCTTATGCCTAAGATATTTCTTTACTGCTCTAACTATTCCTTCAAAGGTAAGGAAATTAGTTCTTAAGTTATATTTCTCCATAACTTCCTGATAATTATAAAAAGTACTTGTTTTCGGGTCTTTTATTATATCATTGATAATAATTACCCCCTTCTTATACCATTCTTTATAAAATACAGTTCTATTTTCTATTGTTATAAATTTACTATGCCAAATAGGTGTTTTCAGTATTGTCCCAAAGAAAATGATACAGTCCTGAATTTTTTTTAATGAAGTGTTCATCTGGATTTGGTAGGGATATAAAAAGATGATAAACTTGTGAGATAAGCAAAGACTTAATAATGTGAATTCTCCCAATTGGTGTAAGTATTCTCCTATTCCAATGTTTAAGATTAACTTAAGTTTTACCAGTTTTTTTATCATAATTCAGTTTTGTTATTTTATGTAAATCAATGTGAAAATCAATCCCTAGTACAGTAAACTTATGGTTCCCCCAATGCAAGTTCCACTCTGGAAAAAATGTATCCTCATAGTATTTTTTGCTTCCTATCCAAATTACTTCAGTTTTAGTTGTGTTTATTTTCAATCCCGAAATTTTGGCAAATGTGTCTAATTCTTCTAATGTTTCCCTTAAAGAGTTTTTCGATCCGTTAAGAATAACTGAAGTATCATCAGCATATTGAGATAGTAATATTGGTGTGTTTTCTATATTTCTTTCTTTAATACTATCATTATTTCTAATTCTGATACCTAGTACTTCTGCACATAAAATAAATAAATATGGGGCAATAGGGTCACCTTGACGACATCCACGTTTAATTTCAAAAAATGGTGATAGATTCCCCCCTTGGTTAATAGATGACTTTGGACACTTGTGAAAAATTTTGATCCAACTTCTTACATCATTTCCAAAATTAAAAAAACCTAAGAACCTTATCAATAAAATACCAACTAACAACATCGAAAGCTTTCTCAAAATCAATAAAAAGTAGTATACCAGGTATTTCATTCTCTTCAGCATATTGCATGATGTCATAAATTATTCTAGTGTTTTCTCCTATATATATTCCTGAAATAAAACCTGACTGATCAGTATTAATTAATTTGTTTAAAACAGTTTTTACTCTATTTGCGATTGAACCCGATGCTATTTTGTATACTTTATTTAGAAGTGAAATAGGTCTCGAGTTTTTCAAAAATTGCCTCGCCTTATCTCCCTTTGGTAAACATGTTATGATTCCCTGTCTTTGTGTTATTGAAAGTTCATTATTATCATATCCATATCTTATTGATCTAACTACATACTGACCTAACTGTTTCCAAAAGCATTTAAAAAATTCAGAAATAAACCAATCAGACCCCGGACTTTTATTGTTTTTCATATTTTTAAGTGTACAAGATGCTTCATTATAAGAAATACTCCCCTCTAGACTTTCCGATTCTTGACGACTCAATTTTGGAACACTATTACCATTTAAAAACTGATCTAAATTAACCTCATGAAGATCATTATCTGCAGAATATAATTTTTCATAAAATTGTTGTACCTCATTTAATATTTCACCCTGTCCCCTAATCAGTTCTCCATTTGCTTTTTTCTATTACTGGGAAAATTTTAGTAACAAAATTTCTATTTTCAAGATTTAAAAAATACTTAGATGGTTTTTCGCTTTCTTCTACCCATTTAGCTTTAGATCTCAAAATACTTCCTTTCAGTCTATGTATTCTTATTACTTCTAATTCATTTTGTTTTTCTTCTAGTTCTTTAAAGTCTACATTTTCTTGAGCTTCTAGTTCTTTAATTCTATTTCTAAGATAACTTTCCTGTTTGTTTTGGGGTTTTTTCTTGTATGAAGCATAAGAAATAGTCTTTCCCCTAATTTCAAATAAAAGAGTGTCTAAAAAAAGTTGGTCATTGATTGTTAGTTGAATATCTTCATTTGGAATGACAGACAAATAATCGAGGTTGTAAATTGGTAGTGCATATTGTATTTTAATGTCTAAAATATGTTTATTAATAATATTAAGACATTCTCTATCATGAAGTAATGAATTATTGAACTTCCAGATGCCTTTTCGTTTAAGCAAATGTTGTTATGGTTCTATAACACACATTGCTATTGATGACAAATTTAATAAAGCCCGGCAGCGCCTGTGTTATAGGACCATAAAAATATTTACATTTTGACAGAGTAGTTACGCTTTATTTAGTTATTTCGAACTGTTCTTTGAATAGCAAATTAAGCAATGGAAGGATGTATAGAAAATGTTAATAAAGCTTATCAATGATAAATTAATCCAAAAAGATAATTTTAACAGTATGGATGTAATATATGATTTGCGATTTTTGCATGTGGTAAGCTTGCATTTATGTGTCATGTTCAACTTCATCTGAAAATTTAATAAATGCGTTAGCCTATTTTAGTATACTAAAGTGATATTTAAAACGTTAACTCGAATTTTGATGATAGGACATATTGTGAATTTAGTGTTATATCTTATGTTTTCAAAAGTTTTTTTAAGTAAAACAACGTCGTTTAATCAACAACTTTTTCAGCTAATCAGCAAATACAGTTGTACATTAAGTCATACTCTGAAAAACAATACGAAACTACTGATTACACTACCAGCGGTTCTTACAGATGTCCTGTGTGATACTATAGTTTTAATTTAATATCAATTAAGATAGTGAACATGATCATCGGACATGAACGTGCAGAATCCTCTTGCTCAGTTAATTAAACAATACGGAGACAGGTATTTGACTTGATGACATAGCTTATCCGGCGTTACCTGTTTACACACTGTCATTTATACTACAGAAGTAGATCACAGAGGTTAAAATACAGGACAGTGTCACAGTTTTTGAACTTATCTAATCTTATATCATACGTTATTTTTGTACGGATAATACATGAGCCTTCTAACTGTCATTTGATAGGAAAATAATGGATAATCCAGATAATACAGCATCATATTTCCGTATTGTCATTAGAAAACCTATATATAAATAACATAGCGCTATTACGTACCAGTTCATATACACTATAACTCTTCATTTTGTAACTCAACTAGAATATATATGCCTCCATTTATAAATAATATCTACACTAAAACTGAATTTAGTAATTTTAAATAAATAACAAATCGGGTTGGGCAGTGGTGGAGTTATTATCAGTTTTCCAAGAAATAATCTAGCCAAGATATATATTGCTTGGGACGAGATAATCACTTCTCCGATAACTGATGTAGACTTCAACACTCACAGCCTATTAAATATATTCTAAAACATAATCTCTTTTGAAAAAATGTTGAAAAAAAAGAAACTTAATGGAAAACATTTTGTTAATTAGGCGCAATTTGCCTACGTTTTGCCCAACTAAGAACCGAATGGACTATAATGAAATTAAACTCCATGACATAATATTGTAATCATGATACATACCATATCTAGTTTATGGAGACCTGTGGCTGGCTGTTATGTTGGTGGTACGGCTATGTGACCTATTTCAGTAGGTTAGATATATTACATTATAATATGGAAATTTCTACGAGACCTGTGTCAGGCTGGGGCGTGGGTGGTAGGACCGTGGCATTTAACCTCTGACCTGCTGATACATAATGTAACTAATCAAAATGATTTGTTGTTTATTAGGCTTGTTGAATTTTGCAGGTGACGTAAATGAGACCGTCAGCTCCTAGACATTGACCGGTTGGTGTCCATATCAGTGTTTCAGAGTAGGAGGTATTGAGCAATTCTTCGGTGATAATGTTGTAACCATACGCGCCAAACTACATGTCATGTAGGTCAAGTTGTAGGGGAGAGACTGACGCAGCATGACGAAGCAATATTGTGGTCGTGTACAGTTGATATGAAAATAATAGTATCGATTAGAATGATTTTTGACGTCATGGCTTTGCGGGTATATGTACGGAGGTGTTAACTGCAGATTTGTATATACATGTTTACAAGTACTTGTTGTCATTTATCGGTAATCGTTCAGAGCGTGATTTATTAAATCAGTTCACTGCATGAAGTGCTCTTCACTATACACTAAAAGCCTTTCAATATCTAACACAGCTCATACTGAACGGGTAAAACATAAGTAACCAAAACACAACACACAAGGTAAGAATCGGGAAAACAAAAGGAACAGAGGAGTCATCAAAACAGAGGAGAAAAGGTGCTTCGGAAGGATATCAACTTCCTGCACAACAAGTGGAACTAAAAACCCGATAAGAGAAGAATAGTGAAGACCCGTGAAATAATCTGCTTTGTAACTCACAATACACGATACGGGCTCCATTTATATTGTACTACGCCTTCCTTTTATATAGTTTACAGCTGACAACAAAAGGAAGTACAGAAGTGCCAAGAAAACCATAGTTCGAACTCAATATTGATAAAACTATTGCAATTTATAAGCAACAGACACCTTTACGTAATGCCCTTGAAAAGAAGAAGGAGAATGAGACCAGATGTTCTGGAAGAGAAAGCGTCTTCTGCTTCCTCGAGGACATCCGCAGGTTAATCTAGCATTGTTATGAGTTGTGAATCGTTTATTAATTGGTGCGTTTTTCATCAGATTAGCGTTAAAAGGTTAATGTAAAATGGTGGTGCGATATCTTCTCTTCAGAAAGCTTAGTCACTTCCATAGGAGATCTTGGTTTAAAACGACCAAAAAATAACAACTCCAACTTAATCACCATGACTATACCGAAGTGTACTCTTACAAATATAATGAAAAAAAGTACGACACATTTAATTTATCAAAAACAAATATATGTTCAACAAATATTAGCATCACACAGATTTGTGTTTAATATTTGTCTAACAACGTGATCCCAGGAAAGGCTCCAAAGTGCCTTATGTAAATATATTACACAAAATATCCTCTTGAGTCAGAATGCAAACAAAAGAAAATATGATGAACTTCATATATTAAAAGAAATAAACCATGCTATACATTATTTTATTTGAAATGTCTTTGTCAGAATGCCAGCCCCAATCCAAATCACTTATTCATGACAGAAAAATATGTTAATTCAGTTATCGATCATCACGTAAACGCTCCTGAAATGTCATGCCTTTACGTGGGAAAATTGAGTTGTGTAATAGGCAAAAATAATGTAATATTCTTACTTTTGAAATATCACATGTTGACCTTTATCAATTTTGTAACAGCAGCAGTAACTGGTTGTGAAAACCATCGTGACAGCAGTAACAGTTTGTCATAGTGTTTATCAGCTATATCATTATAGCTGTCGTTAGTTATTGTTTTAAGACGTTGTTCATTAATTATTCTTTGTATTGGTGTTTTTTTGTGTGTTTTTTTATGTTAATCAGTTATTTCGCAACAGCAGTGGTAACTTATTGTTTTATCACACTTTTGTTAAAGTGTGGCGGATCATTAGAAGTAACCTTTTGCAACATTACACTTTTCTTCAATTATATCACAACGGCTGTAGTTACCTCTTGTTATACAATTATTTTCATGAATTTTATCGAAACAACACCAGTTACTTGTTTAATGACGATTTTCGTCAATTAAATCACAACAGCAATAGTGACTTTTGCTTAATGATATGATTAATCAGTGATATTGCACCATTTTTTTTAAATATTTAACCGTTCTTCGATAATAAACAGCGGTAGCATCACTGGTTAATGCATGTCGATACACATTCAGCACTGATATAATTAGCGATATCGTATCAGCGTAAGGCACATCTTGCTGTTTGGTATTATGCATTCAGTACCATAAGGTGGGCCAGGTCAGCAATGCTCATTGGTAATTCTTTTTCGGTTCACATTTAGTTAGTAATTGATCCATTGGCGGTAATGTATCAGCCATTGTCACAAATTGTTGTCAAACATCGCTTAGCATTCAGTACTGAATTCATCAATGGTATTGTAACTGGCGCTGGTTAGAAACGCTTCATCCGGGGGAGGTGGTGACTGTTGTTTCTTCTGTGGCCCGGCTGGTTTTTTCCTGCAATTAGAAAACAAAATATTGTAAAGTTTGCTGAATATGTTGCTGTCTATCATGGGACGTCATGTCGTTAACAAATTTCTCTCTTAATTCTTTTTAAAATAACATCGCACCAAAGTCAGAGAGGTAACCAGGAACTAATTCGAAAGTCGAATAAAAAAAATGCACAAGTACGTACGGAGGAGATTCAAACCATTAACAGAGACACCTTAGGAACCAGATAAAACACCAGTTGTAATTTCAAAGGTATACTTTCTCCTGAAAGTTTAACCACTGGTTTCACGTGAAACATGACGCAAGGTACTTAAGGATGTTCTCTTCTAGGGATTAAATCACTTTTAAGTCTCGTTTTGATCTCGTGTAACGGATTTTTGTAATATTGAACAAATTATGATCAATTTTAAAAGCAAACACGGATCTAAAACATGTGTAAAAAATAGATGCCTATTGTTTGTAGAACATTTTTAACCACGATTATAAACAAGAGGCCCATGGGCCTTAGCGGTCATCTGAGTTATGTAAAAACTGATGTTATCGATGTTGCCAAATGAAAAAGAAATCATTTTGTAACAAAGGTAACTTGAACTACATATAAAGCAAAAGTAGTGTGAAAGATCTGGGTAGTATATGTATTATGTACAAATAGTGGTTCTGTCAGTCAGATGAATTATGGTAAAGCACCTTAAGACTTCCTTCCATCTATGAAGACCATTTGATTCTACCATATCTGGATCTTGTAAAGAAGATTTTTGAAATTTTAGTCAATTTGACCCTTTTTGGCTCGCCCCTCAGGCTCCTGGGGGCTGGGGACCATATACTTCACAATTAAATTATTGGTCTTCAGAAGAAGATTTTTGAAATTTCAGTCAATTCAGCGCTTTTTGTCCCCACCCATCAGCCCCTTGGGATCATTCAGGGCTGATATGTGCATACCATCAAACTTTTATCCAATGCTGTAATGCTAACCAAGTTTGAATTAATTCCAATGGAAATAAAACAAATATTGGTCCAAAATGTGATTTCCCTATATAAACTATAGTAAAGTTTACCCCCTCCCCAGGGGGAAACGTAAAACCCCAGGGTCATGAATTTCACAAGTTTGGTAAAGCACCTAAGGCCCTTCCATCTATGAAGAGTATTTGATTCTACCATATCTGGATCTTGAGAAGAAGATTTTTGAAATTTTAGTCAATTTGACCCTTTTTGGCCCCGCCCATCAGCCCCTGGGGTCAGTCAGGGCTGATTTGTGCGTATCATCAAACTGCTATCCAATACTTATAATGCTAACCAAGTTTGAATTAATTCCAATGGAAATTAACAAATGTTGGTCCAAAATGTGATTTAGCTATATAAACTATGGTAAAGTTTACCCCATCCCCAGGGGGAAACGCGAGACCCCAGGGTCATGAAATTCACTATCTTGGTAAAGCACCTTAACACCCTGCTATCTATGAAGAGTATTTGATTCTACCGTACCTGGATCTTGAGAAGAAGATTTTTGAAATTTTAGTCATAAATAATGTAGACTTGATGTCGTCACATATATCATATAGTCGGAAGATTACGTAACTGGCTAAAAAGTACAGTGTGTATGCATTATAAACCAAACTATTCTAGCAAATATTAGTTTCCTTTACAACGACGAAATAAGTGCCGTCTGGTATTTGATGCTTATTGTTTCAGACATTATTATTTGACAAACGCTTAACACGAACAGGTCAGGTAGTGATGTTTGCACTCGAGCATTATATAATATAAACTAATTTGATGAATAGCATTTAATAAGACATGCTTGGTTAGGTCTAACAAAAGACTATAGACAAGGTATGTATATATATAGCGGCTAAAAGATGTAAACGTCCATGTGACGGTAAAAATATATATCAAAAAAAAAACGTAGACTAAATTTCGCTAGCATTTTCGCCCATCTTGGGGCTCTTGAGGCGATTTGAATTTGAATACGACATAATCAAGAACATATGACAAATACATTTAAATCGCCTGAAGAGCCCCGAGATGGGCGAAAATGCTAGCGAAATTTAGTCTCCGTTTTTGTTTTATGTATCTCAACAACATGTCAAATATATTGTTCTTTGTAGGTATCCTGCATAATGCGTCCACAATATAGAGAGTACAGCAGGTATTTATTTGCCCATTGTTAATAATATAGGTAAGTACCAATTTGTGATATATATTTGATAGCCACAGCAAGCTATTTTGTGTAGAGGCACGGTTCATAATATGCAAACATAACTCGTTACCTAATTTGAAATTAACCAGTTCTTCTCTTAATATAATTAAGGGTTATGTTCACAGTTGGCCCCTAACATCACCGAATCCTTTTTTGGACTACTGTATGTATTAACAAATATCTAAAGGTGCAATCACCGGCGTTATGTTTATCTTTATGTTTATCTTTATGTTTTTATAATTGGGTGAATATTTTATTGAAAAACAAATATTACACACACACACACACGGCGGAAATACACATCATCTAAAACCTTAATGACTCATAAGAACTGCATCATTAACAATATTGAAATTGGAGGTTTAGACATCAGGCACCGGTCGCTCAAAGGTTGGTCAGATTTACCCAGTGGTTGGGGAAAATTTGATTTGAATACAACATAATAAAGAACATATGACATCATTTCTCTTCTTAAGAATGGTTAAGGATGATCAGGTTGACGTGTTTTGAGAATTAAATCTGCTTTGAAAGTCTCAGAATTTTAGTGCCAACAATTTAAAATGTTCAAAGTTAACCAGCCTTTGAGCAACCGGGAGCCAAATCATAATCAAACAACTAACTTTGATATGAAATTTTGGTTCGGTACTACAGCGTTTGATCAGCTGGCTTATTCCTCGGATTTTCGTTTAGTCTGTGTCTTCTGGAGGTTTTTTAAAATAAAGGTTTTCCTGTATTTTCATTTATTTACAAATATATATCGTAACAAACGCCTGTAGCACCAAGGCATGGTTTCTATCACCAGAAGATATATGTCTGTAAGGTATATGTGTCCGTTACCATGGTTACTTTAAACATATATATTCATATATAATTCACAATTTTGGTTGACCTTTGGCCATGGAAGGTTTCTGCTAAATTTATTTGAAATTGGTTCAGGGGTTTTGGAGAAGAAGTCGAAAATGTCAATTGTTTACGAACGCACGACGGACGACGCACGACGCCGGACAAAAGGCGATCGCAGGTGTCTCAGGTGACCTAAAAATGACCAATTGCGCGGTCATTTAAAAAAATGTGTTTATACAACTTTTTGACACTAGATTGATCACTAAAGTCGTCATAGTGTCGCCATTTGTAATTGTAGCAAGTTCATTTTTTCTGTTCAAATTTATTAAATTAATGTTCAACAAAGTTGAAAATCATACATATTTGGTATTTTATTTACATATTTAGAGTAACTGAAACACTTTTTATTTTAAATTCGGAAAAAAGGTTAAATAGCAGTACTTTGTATATCAAGGGTTAAATATGCAAGAAAAATAGGTGAAAAAAATGAGTACTATGTTTATCAATTAGGCAAACAATCATACATATCTGATAACACACTTGGAAGTTATTGTAAAAATTTGTTCTGCAAATGGTCAAAACCAAAAAAAAAGCATCACCTAAATTCACATATTCTGTTAAAAGAAAACTTTGATCGATCAAATGGGAAAAAACGAGCGCATAGACATTTATTCTTTTTGCATTTTCTACTATGCCCTTATTTCTTCTAATGTTTCCCAAAAATGCATATAATTAAGTTATACACAGGAACTTTTGACTTCTCAGAGTACATCCTTAATGCTATTTACTGTTTGATAACACCTTTGAATGTATGTATATGTACAATTACAATTCTTTCATTCCTCAATCAAATGTCGTCTACCTGACGTACTTCCTTAAACTGACCCTCTGAATATTATCAAATTAAAATTAACATATCATCACTCGGACCGCACACACGATTCTATACCCGTAACACTGGTAATTGTCCAACAAATATATCTCCTTAAACACTTTGTCAACAGTAATTGCTGCCATAGAATCGAATCATGACTCTCCTTCGATGCCAGACCCTCTCCAGCCACTCTCTGCATATCTTGCCAGCTCTGGCACTCGCTCTCTTATCAACCAATTTATTAGAACCACCAGTAACTCTCCGTCCGCCGCCTAATTTCTTTTCTCTCCCCATTATCATCAAGATAAGGCTCCTTCAAACGAGCTAAGCAATGCTGACATAGCGCATCTATCTAGCAAATCACGATACTTATCACAGGCTCTGGAGAAACATAATCGACTGTAACACACCAGGTATTAAATGGTGGCATTTAATTACTTAGGAAACAGAACATAAATAATGTAGACTTGATGTCGTCACATATATCATATAGTCGGAAGATTACGTAAATGGCTAAAAAGTACAGTGTGTATGCATTATAAACCAAACTATTCTAGCAAATATTATTTTCCTTTACAACGACGAAATAAGTGCCGTCTGGTATTTGATGCTTATCTGTTTCAGACATTATTATTTGACAAACGCTTAACACGAACAGGTCAGGTAGTGATGTTTGCACTCGAGCATTATATAATATAAACTAATTTGATGAATAGCATTTAATAAGACATGCTTGGTTAGGTCTAACAAAAGACTATAGACAAGGTATGTATATATATAGCGGCTAAAAGATGTAAACGTCCATGTGACGGTAAAAATATATATATATAAAAAAAAACGTAGACTAAATTTATTACACACACACACGGCGGAAATACACATTATCTAAAACCTTAATGACTCATAAGAACTGCATCATTAACAATATTGAAATTGGAGGTTTAGACATCAGGCACCGGTCGCTCAAAGGTTGGTCAGATTTACCCAGTGGTTGGGGAAAATTTGATTTGAATACAACATAATAAAGAACATATGACATCATTTCTCTTCTTAAGAATGGTTAAGGATGATCAGGTTGACGTGTTTTGAGAA